CCACACGCAACCGGTCAGTACGAATCTTCTTCAACTTTTCACCCCACAGCTCCAGCTCGACATCCATGTCCGCCTTATCCAAATATTCTTTGGCCAAGGATAGAGTTGTGAGCATTTGGTCCGCCGCATCTTGAAGCTCCCTTTTTTGCACTAGCACTCTTGTCAATCGGGCCTCCGAAGTCTTCAGACGCCAACATACTTGCTTCAACAGCGAATCCTGTTCAGTCAACTCCTGGCGCTGCGCCTCCATCACACCTTTTGCCCGGGCCAACTCTGCCTCCAATCCAGGAAGAACATCGGATGTTTGCAATAGAGGATCATCACGTTTGAATTTGCCGACAAAGGTCTCCAAATCAGTCTTGGCAGTCTCGCAGAACGTTGCAAAATCAGGACAGGCATGGCAAATGGAGTCTAGAGCGTTAGAAACTTTGGCACCTTGCTCATCCATCACTTTTTCCTCCAAAGGAAGCGCCAACCATTTCCCCAGCAATATCTTCGCTCTCGCATTTGAAATGAAGGTACTGTCAGTGCTCCTAGGCCCTAAGCCTCCAGGCGCCTTCGTATTCGTAGAGCCAGAAGAAGGTTCGGCGTCAGATGTGGGAACCGGTATTTCAGGCTCATCTTCTCGGGCTCGGGGGGAATCATCCTCTGGGGCGTTCCCTTCTCGGCCATTCTGCTCGGCCGGAATTTCTTCTACAGGACCTGCTATCACAGGAGCAGCTTTTTCAGGCAGCTCCTCTTCAGGACACGCTTTGCTTTGCTGAGTTACATCAGCCGTGTCAGGACCAACCCCTCCGACCGGAGTGGAAGAGTCGGAAACCACCTTCAACCAACCCACATGTCAAAAGATATTACCCAGGGATTATTGAACAGAAACACTTATTCGGACCAGGTCCACACCTCAGTCCGAATATCCACATCACTTATGCCTCCTCCTCGGGCCTCCTTCACTTGGGGGACCAGTCCAGCAACCTGAGGAACCATGCACCATTATTATTTTTTGGGTCTAAAAAAGAAAAATCAGGAAAATTTAGAGGCTCACCGGAGCAACCCCAGGAGTCTCGACAGAAGAAACCTTGGGCCGCTTGCTTGTGGCCACCTTGGGTTGAACCTGTTCCTTCACACCACTCCCAGCTTCTTATGGCTGGGACCTTTTCTTTACGGCCACGCGAACACCTGTTCCGACCAATAATGGGGTCAGAATTTGAAAGCACAAAAATGGTTTAGCCAGAGCTAGAAATTTTTTTTTTTGTGAGGAGAAAAAGACGGAAGTTCCATACCAGCCTGCAAAGCAGAAGGAATGGGAGTTCTTTCCTTCGGTTTCCGCTGAACGAAAATAAGGGCCTTCAATCCACTCGCAATCCCCTACCCCAAAATGGTCAATTGGCTGGGCGTGTAGAAAGATTGATAGTTGACAGAAACTACATTGAAAGATAAAGATAGTTATGAACGCTCCGAGAAAAAAAAAGAACGGCAAGAAAAGAGACGGAAATACGTCTCTTACCAGTTAGGGATAGCTGATTGTCTTCTGCAATTTGCTCAAGCAAAATCCACTTGTCTTCGCCTTTAAGATCCCGCCAAAAAGGACAATTCTTGAAAGCTCGTTGATATGCGTCGTTCAGGGGTCCATACCTACCAAGACAATGATCCCACCAAGCTTGGAAGGTTAGCGTACAGCAGTAGTCAGGATGATAAGGCTTCAACTCCAGCATTCGAGCCGACTAATTAGTCTTGGCCCGAACGCCCAAGAGATCCTCCTTGTTCAACCTGGGGAATCTGTAGGACGAGCCCTTATTGATCAAGGAATAGTCCAATTCCGGAATCACTTGGGGGCATCCAAATTGTCTGCTAAAGAATTGAGGACTGTAGGCTTCTACCCCGTACTGATAGTTTCTAGAGTCCATTCTCCCACCACAAGGCAAGTCTCGCGTCTGCAGGCAGGAGAAAATGTCCATATTCTCAGAGGCCAGGGGGGCATTTCCATCTCGAGGTCCCTGGTAAATTGGTCGATTTTCGAACCAAGGTGAACCCTTTTCCAGATTCATCATCCACTGGAAGGCATGCTTGGTCTTCCGACACAAAAAGAAGGTAAAGCACTCTTCGGTGGTCTTACCAGAAGCAGTGCTCAGCAGTAGTTCCCTTAAGGGTACGGCATTGGAAGCGACCCGCAACCTTCAAGCCCGCAATTCAGGAAAAGTCCACTGAAGCTAGACCTGAACCATCCATAAGGGCCCTTTCACATTAAGATTGAGGGGCTCCACTGCGCTTCCCTCAAAGCTCTGTAAATGGAAGCCAAAATCAAGGGACCAGTAGCAATGTCCCTATAAGAAGACAAACCCTCTACCAGATGAAGCCATTCCATGGTAATACAGTTAGAAGAGCTGGGAAAGATGAACCTGTTCAGCCAATACAATAGGAACATCACATGCTCTCCATCAAGATAATCAACCTCCTGATCCATAAAGGTACCCATGAAAGCCCCATAGGCCCGATTAGAACCTATTAAACTAGTAAGGATTTCAAGATTTTTCTTTCTTTCCTTCTCCTGAGAAGGACCGTCTTGAAAATCCCCTAGCCAATCAGCACTACGCCCATGAGGACGAAATCCAAAGACCACTTGGTCAAGAACGGAAATCGACATAGGCTCGACCCCAAAATCCAAAGTGTTGGAGGCACTGTTCCAGAAGACCAGGGCAGAGCCTAGAAGAGGAGGATCGGCTTGTGGCTGAACGACTGAGCAAGTGATGGCTTGATAAATGCCGTTATCAAGCCAGCAAGCCCCGTAACGAGGTTCCATTCTCTTCACCCAATCTGCCCAACGAAGTTCGACACTCGACACGTCAGTTTTTGGAAAGAACCGGGGAAGCATTTTGTTCCAATTCGACCAATCAACATCCCCTTTGCGACAGGCCAGAATCGGAGCACGAACAGGGTGCACCTCGTAGTTCCAAAGTTGATCAAATTTCTGATCAAAATATCGAGGGCCTAATATACAGTGATCGTTAGCAAAACTGATGGCATCTTTGCATAGCAGGAACTGGGCACGGCCAGCAGCAAATCTTTCAACCCAGCCATCAAAAACGGCGGCAAAATCTTTCACTCCCGCCCGGGTAAGGAACGCAGATCCAGTAGAGGCGGTTCCGGAAGAAGAAATGTCAGGGGCAGAGGTCGAGGACTTCTTAGGCGCCATTTTTTTCAATACTAAGACCACACAGGGATTCAAAAGTTTGAAAGAAAGGAGGAAGTCGAGATCTTGTGCTCAAGAAAAATGCGACCTTTTTGACTCGACCTTGAAAAGATAGGAAGTGGAAAGGCGAGAGGAAACGGGGAAGCCTTATGTCAGATATTTAAAACTCGACGCGACCTTTCGATTCAGCCACCTGACAAGTCCTCATCATGATGACACGTGCCCGAAAAGAAAAGGACATGATTGCTATCAAGACGCGACACTCAATGAAGTCATGCTTAAGGACACGACGCATAACGGACAAAAAGCCCACTTTATGAGGGTGGGCCCAAAAAACAGCTTTGGAAGGGCTTCTCAGATTTAGTTACTTTTATTCCTTAAAAATGAATATTGGTACAAAATCTGGAACTCAATTTTTCTAAAGACATAATTATAGAGCCAATTAATGGTTAAGCGGAGATAACTGTCTAGAAACATGATAGAGGGAAGGAAATACCATGGCACGGTTCAAACCGTAATAAGTGTCTACAAGCCAAATGAAAATCAAAATAACTGAAATTTAAGCAATAAATTCTAGAATAGTGGAAATTAGGTCGGATAGGTTGTCCATGTCCAAATCGAGGGCCCGCCGTGCAGAGGTCAATTTCTTGCTGGCCAATCTGGCCCGAAAGGTGCGAGAGGTCAAGTCTTGAACAACAAGTTCACTGGCCGCAATTTGAGCCCGAATATCCGCCATCTTAGCTTCCAACTCTGCCTTCAATTTGAGATCAGCGGAAATTTCCCCTTTCAGAGTAACCTCCTCCTTCTCCAGCGCCTCAAGACTATCCAGAATACCTTCCGCTGCCTCGACAGCCTCTGCAAATCCTTCTTTCCGATCACAATGATCTTCCAAAATCTCTTCAGGATCTCTCACAGAAGGAAGGACACTTTTGATTACGCAGATGTGCTTCAGTGTTTTGCTCAGCCATCGTTCCAAATGATTGCACGCAGGGGCAATATGTGGCTTCACTTCAGCAATCTGACAAAGAAGAGGCTGAATCTTCGAGAGAGTATCATGATCCACCATTGGGTCAAAAGTCGGAGCCCGAATCAGATTCCACAGAGCCTTAAGCACCTGCACAGCATTAGCAAGCACCACATCCGGCTTGCTCAGGGTCAGAAGGACCTTCCTGCCCTCTGCACTTGTAAGATTGGTGGCGCGTCTAGATCGAGGCCCGAAAACACTAGATGCTCCAATATTTGGAAAAGCAGGGCGGCTCGTATTGATCATGGCTGAGTCTAGAGCTACTAGCGGTTCATAAGGAGGAAGCTCAACCCCTTCTTCAAGCTTAATGGTTCTCACTTTCAAGTGAATTTTTCGGGGGCGCCCATCATCTAGAACAGGTCCCGAAACATTCTCCTTGCCTGGGCGCTGCAATCACAAACAACAATCTCAGAGAAGTATTGAAGAAAATCAAGGAAAATATGAGCGAAATCAAGAATAGAACCTGAGGTGCCGGCATGGAATCCAGTTCCGGCTCCTCTCCTTCACTGGAAGAAGAATCCATTCTTGCCCTTTTTTCGCCAGCGCCTGGGACCAGAAATAAACAATTTTATTCTCGGCATAAAAACCCACTTATCAAGGGCAAGAACGATTTAAAAAGGGGAAGATTTGTACCTCCTTCAAGATTAACGTTCTCAAGGCCCGGCGAGGGTGGAGCTCTTCGCTTTCTCTGAAGGGGCAAGTCACCTTCGTCTTCTTCTTCTTCTTCTTCTTCTTCCTCTTCCAGAGGGGCCTTTCCCTTATCTACGCCTGACAGACCAAGGCCAGGAGGGTGAGAGAAAGGGGAAGAGGCAGAGGGTCCTTCCACTCTTTCGTCCAAGGCAACATCGCCAGGAGGGGTGATGTCAGCCCGAGCTGCGATACGGGAAAACAACCCATATAAGAAAAAGAAGCCAAAAGAATAAACAGAATCAAGAGCTTACCGGTACTTTCTGGAATGGGAGATGAGCCCTGAGCCATCTCTGTCAATCACCAAAAACAATCCAGATTGTTAGAAATTGACAAATCGATTGAAAAAGGAAGTACAAGTCTCAGACGTTTACCTATTATTGCTGCACTCTGGAGATGCAGCAGCCTCCTCCTCATAGATTTTTCTTCTTCACTCGTCATTTCCCGGGCAAAAGGGCAACCCTGAAATGCAGAAGTGTGAAAAAGTTTGGTAGGTTCAGGGAGCCAAGAAAACAATCTCCCTTCCCAGAATTCGTGGAAGCTCGAGGTGCAAAGCGAAGAGGGAGTGTACGGGGGAACTCTGGCCCTGTTGACTCGGCCCTTCCAAGATCTTATTAATTTTATCGCTTCAGGCCCCAGAGCCAAGTTACGCCAGGAGCTGCCTTTGTTCGCAGAACTGTATCTCAGTTCAGGAATAGGCTGGACAAACCCAAACTGCCAGCTCACAAACTGAGGATTATAGGCTTCTACTCCGTGGCTGCACCTTTTATCATTCAGGACCCCTCCAAAGAAAAGGTCCCTGCTGACCAGGCAAGAAAGGCTCATTTCCGCATGAAGCCGAGACCGAAAATTGGTTAGTTCCCTCCATTGGCTCGGAGCTTGATGCAGGCCTCCGTCTGTGAACCAAGGAAGGTCGCAGCCGAGAGAGTGAAACCAAATTTCGCTGGGCCGTCTTCTGCATTCCCGGAAAAAGATAAAGCATTTCCCTTGCTTGGATAGGTGTTGCTCGCACCAATCAGGACTGACACATACATGAGAGAAAGAATATTGAAGTCCTCTTAACTGGGGCATAGAAAAGAACCAATCCAGGCCAGTACCCCACTTGGAGCACAATGGCTTGAGCAAAGGTCCAAAAAGAAGGTGCAAACTTCACAAAATACCCATCACATTCATTCATACCAGGTCTGTTGGACTGGTCTTATATCCAACAGTGGCACGCCTATAAAGCAGAATCCACGAATCAGAAGGAATCCAGGAGTTGAGCCCAATACAGGGCTGGACTGGATTCTTGTCAACCTGATTCAACTTTCAATTTTGTTGAATATTGAAATAGTATCTGCGTGAGCCAAAAAAAAAAACACAATCGGGGCATTGGTGTCGGTCTAGCAGCTGCCATATTCTTCCGAGCACGCCTATCACGACATTTGGCGAAAAGAATACCTAACAGGAAAAGAGACCAACAGAAGCTTATTTTGTAGATGCCAATTCTTATTATACTAGTCGTTATATATCTATTATAATAACCTCAAAATTGGGATTTCCCTTGACTTCTGTGGCAAATTCTAACAAAGGTGATTGACACCACCTACCCAGATTGGAAGCCTAGCACCTCACAAGCCTAACCCAACAAGAATCACGGCCATCAGACCAAAGTGCAAGGCGTGGCGACGCCATGAAGTTCATTCCTCGCAAGGAAAAACCCTCAACTTTGATCGACTTCTGCTGGCATAGTTCTTGACAGGGGATTCTAAGTTTTTTTCGTCGCTGAAATTTACTATTCATACCCACCGTCAGTGGCGATGCGATGGTGATAATGTTTTTAGATCAAGTTGTGGTCCTCAAGGTGCTGAGCTCTATGGTGTGCCCAAATTTGCGATATTCCATTGTTTGACCGAGGACCGGAACCCTGGTAATTCTGGATAATTGTAATGGACATGATCGGACCATTGGATCACCTCCAAGTTTGTACACTTTGTAGGTTTAAACAGATCGAACATTAGACGTTCCGATCTTACATTATTGTGTTTCAAAGTATAAGGTGAACGATCATGTGTGATCGTGCGATCTAGGATGATTTGACAGTTGGATCGGGCCCAAATTTAGACGGTTGTGATGTCGGGACTATTTAGAGTTCATTGGTGATTTTGGATTTGAAAGCTGAGGTTGTGGGTCTGAGGCTAGTTTATGGAGTGTCGGTTGGACCTCTGGGACCCAAAGAGTGACTTTTTGGACAATTGGTGTCGTTTATGTTGTTTTGACGTCGACAATGTTGTGTATGTCACAATTTTGGACTGTTGTGGACGGAAATTGATCGCTTTCGACCGCGGGTTGGTTCGAAGGGTATTTTCGTTATTTGTGCGATGAATCTTTAATTGCGCAAGGTTGAGGATAAGATTGACAATGTGTTGGTCATGACATTTTCGGGAGTTGTCGGTGACTTTAGTGAGTCACAGCGAGGCGTGTCTCGAGAGACATGTACCATGGTTTATGTGCTAGTGCATGATGAGTTGAGTTTAGCTAGGAGCTCAATCATTATTGGATTTGTTTCGCAGTTGAGTTGCAAACTTCACTTAGCTTTTGTTGAAGTTTGAGTTTCTCATTGAGGTTTGTTTGAGCCAGAGTTGCTCGGTATGGTTTGCAACCGTTGATATTCGTTGAGCTTAGTGATATTGTGCAGCTTGGAGAAGAAGTGAGTAAAACTTTCGGATTGTGAATTAAAGACAAGTTGTGATATTTACTACTACATGGATTTGTGGATGTTGTTTTGTGTGTTTGTTATTCATAGTTTATTTGCTTGTGTTTGTTATTCATATATATATTTGTGATGTTGTTATTGTGTGGAACTGTTGTTATCCTTTGTGGGTGTAGTGTGCTGTGTGGAACTTTCATCCTTTATTAGTGTAGTGTGATGTGTAAAACTATTATCCTTTGTAGGTGTAGTGCGTGTGGCTTTGTGGAACTACGATCTTTCGTGGGGTATAATCGTAGAGTGTGTAAGTGTTTGGGATGACTTGATTGTCATGAGTACTTTGGTAACACAATGATTGTGTGGTGCTAATGAAAGTGCATGTTGTTGAATTTTACGTGAGAAATTACATGTTTATACTTATGTGATTTACTCATACGAGCTGTAAAAGCTTATTGGGTTTGTGTGTGGTGAACCCAGTACACTATTTGACGGTGCAGGGGAACTTGCAGGTAATAGGGAACCCTTGAGCAGGTTTGGAGCAAGAGGCTCAGTTGTTGTTGTGTAGATAAAGTGGCTTGAGTGTGGTGTGTTTTGTAAAGACTTTTGTTTTGTGTAACAAGCCCTGGGGAGCAGATTATGTAATATGTTTATACTTTCAATTTATTAGGCGGAATGTAATATTTGATTTAGGAGTGTTGTTAATACTGACATTATGGGTTCGGAACAGATTGTCTTGTAGTAAGAAAAAAGAAAATAAAAATAAAAATCTTCTACTTTTGTTGAAGGTTCCGAGCTATACGTGCCGGATTGGTTTGCTTGTAATAACTCGAGGATTATTTTTGATTGAGAATTTATGGCGTGACAGTTTGGTATCAGATAATTTGGTTTGCTCTGATAGAGAGACAAAACCTTTGGTTAGCTATGTGAGAGTGGTAAAGCGGTTGGCTCTGGAGACGAGTAGTTGGTTGCCTTCTGTGAGGAAATGGACCTCATCATAGACAAAGACCGAGGAAGGTGTAATGGTATAATTTTGTCATATAGTTTAAGTGTACCAGAGGTGATATCGAATTTTGAAATCAAAGGGTTGGTTTGTACTGATTTCTCTTGCAAGCCTTAACTTGTGAGTGGTGGGCTTCAGTCCTTCTGACTCGGAAGGTGTTACTACTAGAAATGTGAATGTGTTTGTCATATCCAGCTCGATTTTCCAGTCCAAAAAATCATATTTTCACTTCAATTTCTTGAACATCCATTGAAAAATTTATAAATTTTAAACTTTAACATTCTGGCATTTTAGTCCAAATTGATATTAAACTCACTTAATTTAATTATTTTCACACCAAACCAACTTCATAAAATTCCTAGAAATATTATTCTCCTTATATGATTTTTTGTAACATTAATCACAACAAAATCTCAATTTTGAGATTATTACAAAAAAAAAATTAGTTAGATTTTAAGCTAAAATTTTTAGATAACGCATCAATCTAAAAATTCTTGATTTCGCCCTTGTACAAAGACAAAGATTGTACAGGGAACTATCTCATTAGCAGTGTGGTGAACATGGTTAAAAACTTCCCTAATGACCTGAGTCAGCCGAAGAGCTGAAACTATCTGGAGAGAATCACTCTCGAAAATAACTTAGTTCATCTCATTTTATTGTTCAAAGTGACCCCCAATAAAATTATTTCATGACTCCATCCCTCTTTGAAATGCAAGCTTTGTGAAATGCTTCAACCTCATGTTTTGGCTCCTTTTCTTCAACATTGCTTATATAAAATAAATAAATACAAAACACAAAAACATGAGGTTTGATGTGGTAAAACAAATAGGAAATAAAAATTTCATTACAATACAGGCTAACTGAGTTAAACAAAGGGAAGGGATCATTTGAAGTTTTTGAACCACCACACCTTTCGAAAAAAACTCAACAGCAATTAACCTCTCTACCTATATACTTTTAGTACCTCGCATCTTTTTACACATGCATATAGATATATAATTTGTTACAATTGGCTAAAGCCTAAGAGAGGCCTAAAACCAAAACCGCGTGCAAAACTTTTTCCTTCATCATATCACACAACTTCAACTGCAGTGCAATGCAAGCCAGGCATGGCCTCCAGCAAATCAAAGGTCAGCATGGAAGCCTTCGGCTTGGGCGGTCCGTTTGCAAATCTGACCGGCAAGGACCCCGGCGTGGACCGCTCGAACGTCCCGAACCACTTGGCTTGCATGTACTTGTGCTTCCTCCATGGCCCCAAGTGCATTTTCTTCTCCTTCATACATTTTTTGGCTGCGCAGCAGAGAATCTTGATCAAGGCTCTTAGTCTTTCGGCTTTCCCAACAAACACTTCGGGCAGCCAGCTGATTAATCTGTTGTAGTTTTCGCTGGCTCTGGCCATCTCAAACTCAGCTCGGAAATTCAGCTCAATCACCACCCTAATCTCCCCTCTCTTTGAACTTGTGTCCAGCACTTCCAAATAAGTATGCTCTCCTGTTAATTAATCAAAAACCAATTTTAGTCCCCGAAACAAGCACATAAAAAAATTCTGCATTGTGTCCCACACCCACATAAGAAGTTCTTTTATAACTCCGGCAAGGCGGTGAGTATGTGCCCTTACACCAAAGTTCGAATCCGGTTAATTAGATTAATTTAGAATAGTTTACACTACAGCTTGTATAAAAATAAAAATTTGAAAAGTTCAAATTAAATTGAAAATTGAATGTACCTGCTGGGGTACTTGTTGAGCTTCTCCATTTGGACTTGCAAATGACACAATTGTACCCAAAATCTATAAGCCGATTGCATAATTCGTTGCGCAAACAACTCCGGCAACCGCCAAACACAGGCTTCGAGCACACGCAATATTCTGCGGCCGACGAGTTTATGTCACGTAACGCCTCCTTGGTGGCCTGCCGAATTTTGGTCTCAATGCCACTGCTCTTGCACAATGTTGCCTGCAATTCCAAATACCATATATACATTAAATAAATAAATAAAATGCCAATATTTGCAAAGTACTTATGAAATTAATGGGTTTTGACAATTAGTTTTTTTTTTAAAATTAAAAATTCACCTGGAGAAGTTGGTCTTGTTCTTCCCAAAATGCCTTATTCTCTTCCACACTGAAAGAATTCTCCTCATCCTCATCGGAGCCAGAGGTAATATTCTCCGGCGACACCTCGACTTGCTCGAAGAAACCCAAAACCATGTCGGCGAGACTTGCAGCGCTGCCTGGAAATTCCAAAATATCGTCGGAGCTCCGGCGCGTCACCTGAATTCTAGCCATTGCTCCGGCCATATTCTATTTTTAGAATCTCCCTCTCCTCTCTCTCTCTCCTTCACTTTGTTCTTTGTGTCAAAAAACCTAGGTAATGGTAATGCACGTGGTCTTGAATGGTTGGGAAATCTGTGGTCTAATTTATAGGTCTATGGTTGGGGCCCACGTGTCCTACGTGGACTAACAAGGCGCGCGAACATAACATCTTCGTGTTGCTTACGTCTGTGGGGTGAAGTATTCGGTGTATTTCGGGTTTGTACAGCTAAGGTCCACGTCCGCATTGACCAATAACGTTGAAGCAATTGAGCTCGAGTGTTATCCGAATATTCTATTTATTGCACTTTTCCTATTTTTTTTATTTTTTTTATTTTTCAGTAATTATAATAATAGTGTGTTTTTATCGTGATTATGGTAAGCTTTATCCTAATCTTTGGAGCTGCTGTGTGGTGGGGACCACTGAGGTTAAAATCTGCCCGCGGTCAGTGGGCACAATAATGCACAAAATACACGTGGCTTTTTCTAAGGATTTGATGGCCACAGGCTTATCCAATTCTAAATGGGACCCACTATCTGTCCAGAGTTGTTGTGAGTTTGTCCCCATATTCCATGATTGTGCAACCTTTTACAGGGTGGTATAATGATAATTAGCATTTTTTTAAAATTAAAATAAAAGGGTACACTACCTATTTCTCGAGTTATTTACACTGATAGTTCTTAAGGTTCAAAAATCATGCAGATCTGACCTAGGCTAGTTAATTAAGATAGTGAACTCAACTTTATGCACCCAAATTAGTCTTTTTGTAATAAAATTAATTTAATTTAGTTTAAATTATCACTTATATCAATAAACAAAAAAGAATAAAAAACGACATTAACATTCTTCGAGGTTTCAAACTGTTTTAATAAAGCTCTTACCATTAATTTTTTGTCCAAAACTTACTAACGTCATCAACAAATTTTCTCCAAATAACTAGTTTAACGATAGAAACTAGATTGTACATACACTCGTGAGGTCTAATATTAGAAGTTAATTTTGTTATATGAAAAAAGAAAAAATCTAGCATAATCAATTTTTAAACTAAAAACTAACGAATTGGGTTTTGTGAAAACGATTTGAAACCTCATAGGTTTTTAGTATGATTTCTTAAACCTCATAAAGTCACCTTTTCTTAATAATTGAAGCATTGAAATTCTGCTCAAAACAAACTAAATTTTTTAAAATACATTTTTTTATGTTTGTTTTGACTATTGTGCACGCGGTGAGGTCCACCAACGTTGATAATTGCCATGTTGGCCAACACTGTCATCTGCCGTGCCAAGAAGTTAATATAATTAATTATGTTCTCATCTGCAATGATTTGGTGCAAGGGTAGCATTGTAATTACAGATTTTATTAAACAAGAAGTATTGTGAACAGAAAAGTGGGTACAAATTCAAGTTAGGTATAAGAAAATCCTTCTCCTTAAACAGGCCGATTTCATTGGGTCAAAATGTGGTTGAATTTTGAGTGGTTTCCCATCATCATAATATACCAAATTATATTGACCAAAACTATACCTGAAATTTAAGAAGTGGGTACAAAAAGAAGCTTCTTGTCACAAATCATAATGCCGAGGTTATTGGACAAATATATATATAACTGAAATTGGAGCTTATTACAACAACAAAAATTTGTTGTCAGGGCTTACAAGCCACAAAGAAAAAAAAAAAAAGGTCAAACCAAAACTACCAAACTTGTTACTCGCTTACTACACAATCAACCCTCAAGCATTCTATTATGTCAGTTATTTACGCTAATACTCCCTAAAGTTTTTTTTTTTTTTTTGCACAAAAATCCTTGAGGTTTCAGATATTACACAAACACCCCTTGAGGTTTTTAAATTGTTTTTACGAAATTTCCTTTACATTGATTTTCTTTGTCCAAAGATTGATGATTTTATATATATACAAAATTTCTCCAAATGACAAAGTTAACCTTCGAGATTTGATTGCACATACATTCATTGAAGTTAATTTTGTCATTTGCATAAGTTTTTTTTTATATGAAATCATCAGTTTTTAGGCAAACAATCAATTTCATTATAATTGCAATCCAACTAAACTCAAGTGAGTTTTTCTTATTTAAATTTAATAATTGTTGTTCATGATATTTGAACTGAAGACTTCCTCAAATAAAATGTAGACAAGGTGATATTAGACCAAATGATCAACAGTAAAAGTAATTAAGCAACATTTGGATATGTAGAAAAACTATAGACCAAATGTTGCTTAAACTCAATACCAACATAACCACTATAGACCAAATGTTGGTATTGAGTTTAATTACATTGTTACCCACTAAGGATCACGAGCCTCTAAATTTAAGAAAAACTTAACCGTTTTACTATAGTGGTATTTCTTGTTCAAATGTACCGTTTTACTATAGTGGTATTTCTTGTTCAAATATTGGAAGGTTCTAAATTAAAACCCTCTACTCTCTTTTTTCTTTTTCTTTTTGTTGAGAAATTCTAGGATTCCATTCATAATTCAGTCAAAAAAGCCACTAGCCACAAAGGGCCAATACAAACTAGTCACAAAGGCCCATTACAATAATAGAGACGTCTAACATCAAAATTAAGACAATCTGGTCCGCCTCCACAAACGATCACACAATATCAAAGAAACTCTGGCTTAGGCATCCCAATTAAGATTGCAAACTCATAATAATCAAAAACAGATAAAGCTTGAAAAAACTGAGCCATAACAATATAAATAAAACTATCGCAAAGGAGAGATGAAAAGCTCTCACAAAATGAGAGGTGAAAACTACACAAAGAACCCAAAGAGTCTTTGTGACTTATTCCGAACATAAAAAAACCGCAAAAAAGATAGTGGTGGAGATCCGACGCCGAAACGCAGGTGGAGATTTGACGCTGAGATGCAGCCGCCTATGATGGTTGGAGGAAAATCATAACAAAATGAAGATAAATATGGAAAACTTTTTGTCTCTGAAAATGAGGGGAGAAGATAGGGAGGGAGGGAGGAAGAGGAGATGAAGAACAGTGGCTTCCTCCCCCCTCAAAGTGAAAACGGCTCCAGGAGCAATCCCCTACTCTCTTAATAAATTGTTTTTCTTGATACAAGCAATATTGGGGGAGGGGGATCCAAATACATGACCTTGAGTGCAAGAGTAACTCTCTTAACCACTTGAGCTACCCGTCCCTTCAAATTGTTTATTAATTTAATTGTCAGTATCAAATGTAAATGAATAATTAAAACATAAAATAGCAGTTTGAATACTTTTCAGTATGAATTGAGGAAAAAACACACCATATTTAAATGATTTATGAAAGCATTGCGATGCCACCTTTTCTTTATTAATAGATTGAGAAGATAAGTACCTATAGCAAGAACTAGTTGATTCCTCTCAATGCCACTTAAGCTAAAGTTTTAGGCTATCCAAATACAATCTTAAAGTATGATTAAAATATCAAAGGTTGCACCCTATAATTTGTATTAAAATAATGTTATTTACCATCACAAGGGCCCAAAGCGAGACATCGGATTAAGGTCCTCAACTCTCCACCCATCAGAAAGGAAGGATTTTATGAAAACATTTTAAGGGATGTTAGTGTAATTTTCAAAAACTTCAAGAGTTTTGTGAAAACGAGTGTTGGTTTAGTAGTGAATTTCACTTTCACCTCAATTTCAAGAGACCAAGATTTTTTTATTTTTTATTTCAAGACAATGAGACGTTTGAAAAAACAATGGGAAAATAACCATGAGATGTGGTGTGGTGGTAGCTCACCTTATTCCTTAACCATGTGGTTGGGGGTTCGATCCCCACCCATGGGAATGGAGCGCATTTCGTGGCCAGCCGTTTACCTCCTTTGGGAGAGCTCCCGCGGCGAAAGGGATTAGTCACTGCTTTCGACGGTGGACACCCTTGGATCTCATCCAAAAAACAATGGGAAAATGTTGTTGGAAACAGCGTACAAAAGAAATAAAGTTTAATTATTAAATTGTTCATAATATCTTGTTGGTAGGTTGTGATCTTGATTAGGATTGATGGTAACAGCCAAGGCCCCTCCATCTGTTTTGGCATATTTCTCAAATGGGAATCTTATGTGGCGCGTATCAGCCAAGGCCTCTCCTTCATCTGAGTTTTCTCCATTAGGTAAAACCATTTCTGTCGTTGTCAGTTGATGGAATGTAAATAATAATCTTCTTGGCTTCATTGCAAAAACTGGGTGGTACATAGATTCCCCCTTTTAATATCTTTCTCTTCAAACAAGTTTACAAAATCACAAATATCACACCCAGGTGTGATTTTGTGAACCGTTGATTGGTGTGGAACTTACTGTGAAGCGCACGCTAATCAACCATTGTCAATTTGCATCTAAGCGATGAAAGATGACAATATACCAGTTAAAAGATGATATGCGTTCAAACGATGGAAACAAATCTCTACGATGCAAAATTAGATCAGTTGTCTTAAAATTTTGAGTATATTATCTTTCATGCTGGTAAAAAGTGCGTAGAAACAACTTTCATCAACTTGTAGGAAAAGAGAACTTTGATGTCGATTAATAATATATGAAATGTTAAAAGAAACAAAGATGACAACGGACTGAACAGATACTCATCCAAAAGATCATATAATCAGTAAAATAAACAGATACTTATCCAAAGTGCCTTCCTATGACAATTCACAGATTAGTTTTTATTCAACTTGTCAAATTAACTATTTAGCTATTAAAAAACAATGAAGTCAAGGTCTTTTAGCACTTTTACAGCTTGGAGAACAACTTTTCCCTTTTGAAAGAAACAGATACTTTGTCTCCTGTGCTGTGCCTTCCCATGGGACACACACAAAGCTAAAGCCTACTTGCAGCTTCAAAAAGATGATCATAGCTAGATTCATAGATGAAATAAAATAACATATCCTTAACACTCACATCACAAATACAGCATGGGATTTGCTCATGAAATAATATATAGCAGAGAAAATCCCAAAAAAGGAAAACCTTAAATTAGATTTAAAGATTTGTTTTACTGGCCATATCATAAGATCCACAAAATCTAAGCATCAGTTGAGGATAGACATGAATTATAAAGATCATGCCTTTACTATTCTTCTCCCTAACTCTTTATTTACCCTGGTTTGATATTCAAAAAAACCTTTCATGTCTTTCTAACAGAAGGTTTTTGGGTGCATAAGTATGCAAACCATGGTAGAGGACACGAACCACGGCATTGGCACGGTCTGATTTGTTACCGGCGAGTTGATCCCGAATGCCGAATTTCGAATCGAGATACCAGAAAAGACATAGCTGTATATAGTCCATGGAAGCCTGCTGGTACAAAGATAAGAAGTGATTTAAATAAGTTATTGATCAGTGACACAAGATAATGAAGAGGAAAAAGTGCAAATGTAGGAATAGATCAAACACCACTACTTGATATTTAAAATAACAACGTTTATTATATGTTAGCACTTGAAAGCCAAATGAAAAGATAGCTACAAATTGACAGGCACCACTAGCTTAATAAACTTATAAAACTTGATGCTAAGCAAGTGGAACAGAGCAGAGAATATTATTGAGGTCCACTCTGATATCTATTCAATAAGGACTGATGATGATGATGGTGAAGAAGAAGTTATAATGCCCCCATTTTATTGATATTAAAATCATTATAAAGCATACCTCTCACTCTCAGAACACAAAATATCAGACAGGCTTTGTCTTTAACTTCATTTACATGGCAATTACAGAAAATGGACCACACAGTTTGTCATTTTTTTATGATTATTTCTTTAATTTCATTACGAAAAAAACTTATGCTACAATTTTTGTAGCATATCCAACTCAATCTATTGGAGCAGGAGGATATGCTAACGTTCTCTAGATGCTACCTGATTAAGAGTAGGCCATTGAATTAAACTTACCTTTTTTTTTACAAATTATCCATTAAAAAATGCATGCCATCTACTCATTATTTTTAAGAGACATTGGAGCAGGAGGATATGCTAACGTTCTCTAGATGCTACCTGATTAAGAGTAGGCCATTGAATTAAACTTACCTTTTTTTTTTACAAATTATCCATTAAAAAATGCATGCCATCTACTCATTATTTTTAAGAGACGCTTTCAACAAGTTGTTTTATGAAATCATAAAAAAAATTGCATGGGAAATAAAATAAGATAAGCAGCACTAGACTAATGTTCTTGGCGTGCAAGTTGCGAATGGTTTTATTCCATAACAAAGCTAAGCCTTGGAAACATAGAACAGAACCCAAATTGAAACGTCATGCGAAAGGGGAAGTGAAAATAACACAAAAATTTTGCAACCATGCTTTATAGTAATTCCCCTTTGCCAGCCTCCTTCTGTGTCTCTCGATGTTATTTTTAAGCCATATGAAATGGGAAGATAAACTGTGGAAAAAATTCTACAACATGCTTTGTCCTAATTACCACTCGCACTCACCGTCTCTGTCTCCCCGATGTTTTAGCAGTGTTTTTGAAGACGACGTGCTTATTTTCAAAAGACGTCGAACATATTAGTTGAAGAGTGATTCCCTTGTTGTCATCATTCAGTTTTCAATAGTTTTTTTGTCACAAAATGCCAATAACTAGCATCCTGACATTAAAAAGAGACTTCAAAAGATTAGGTTATCTGTCATCAGGCACCCTTCCTTTGCAAGCCGATTTTATAAGGCCATTTCATACTCAAAAACCAAAAGAAGATCTGTTATTGAAAATCCCAAGCCAAAGAGAACATTATTTGAGTATATAAAGGATATCACTACTTGAACAATGAGAAATCATACCCAACATTAAATGGAAAAGTATCTTGTGCTGATAATCTGTTTATGAGAATTTAGCAAGGAGACGGAAACCAAGGACAAATGCATCATCAATAAACAATGTTACGCATGAAAAGATACATAAATTTACACGAAAGTGATCAAAGAATAATAATTCAATGGATTGGAAAGACTCATCTTCAAGGGGAAGAGTTAGGATAGAATGAAGGTATCCATCGAAAAACTGACTGTGAAGACAACACAAAATTTACAAGATGATGGGAGTGTTTATGAGTTGATGACAGACTAATCATGTTCTACTTGTAACTATGCGTACAAAAAATATAAGTTAATCAAATAATCCCTTGAAGATAAACCGACGTTCTTTTCAGATTTTTATTTTTTATTTTTAAGAAACCTTTAAAAAATCCCTAGAATGCTGAAAAGTAATACTTAATTACAGTCATGAAATGATGAAGGAAGTTGCAACAATTAAAATACAATTTGGTTACTTGCCAATGAGCCATGGGAAGGGTTCTGCACCATTTGCAGTTATTCTAAGATGTTAGTTGTGCACCATGATTGGATGGTTGTGAAGTTAGTACAAAATGAGAGCCTCTTTCGAGAATCAGATTAGCTTGCAAGGCTAAGGAACTACACAGTTAGTACAAAATGAGAGCCTCTTTCGAGAATCAGATTAGCTTGCAAGGCTAAGGAACTACACAAAACTACATACAAGAAATAAATGCATTTATTCTCATAAGGTTTGCAATGTAGTCTGCCTCTTGCTTGTTGATTGTTCCAACAACAAAGGACTGCATACACCAGCTTAACATAGTTAAAAAACTTGAGTTAAGATTCACAAATTGATATCTTCCTATAAACTTAATCAAACATCAACCCATATTCCTTCCTTCACACTCTTTCGCCAACCACGGTAGGTATTTGACATTATCCAATGTATAAAATGAAAAGACCTGATTTTGATCACAGAGAGTCAATTACTCAATTCCAGAGGACACTTTTCCTATAAGAATTATGTTTTCAAAGAATTCAGGGTTCACTAACTTCAATTGCTGACCGAAAACATGAAATTCCTCAATAGTATCAGGTCTCCTCAGGGTAAAAAGTCTCATATGGTTAATAGAAAAAATTAGTCACTGCAATGTTTGAATCAAACTGGCTGCCTCCTAGTATCCTTAAACCCTAAACACAATGTCTTGGATTTCTTAAAAGCACTTAAATGGCTGGAAACCCTACAAGGTCTGCTGAACAAAAAGACACATGTACCAATTATATTTTAACTGGCCAGGGTGGGACAAGTTATGGAAAATTAAGCAAATAAGCACAAACCTAGCAGAACAAGAATTCAGAAGATTATCAGAAAAAGTCTCATATGGTGGTTAATAGAAAAAATTATAGTCACTGCAATGTTTGAATCAAACTGGCTGCCTCCTAGTATCCATAAACCCTAAACACAATGTCTTGGATTTCTTAAATGCACTTAAATGGCTGGAAACACTACAAGGTCTGCTCAACAAAAAAAACACATATACCAATTATATTTTAACTGGCTAGGGTGGGACAAGTTATGGAAAATTAAGCAAATAAGCACAAACCTAGCAGAACAAGAATTCAGAAGATTATCAAAGTCAAAAGAAATAAATTACCAACTACTCTTAACAGCTGATAACAATAAGAGACTTACTTTTAATTTATGCCTTGGATTTCTTAAATGCACCTATATGGCTGGAAACCCCGTTCGCTCTCCCTCTTTCACCGATGAAATATATTTACCACAAAGACTTAAAAGTACCATACATTCCAAGGTAAAAGTCCTGCATTGCCAGTGAGAGACAATTGAAAAACACTTACAAATGAAGTAATGGATGGCTGATGGATGAATTGATAGGAACTCTGAATCTATACTTAAATCGTATTGTTAGAACTTATCCCATTTGGTTGAGCACTTGAGGAAGTGTACAACCATAGCCAAAAAGATAACCTCGAAAAGTTTAACAGACACTACGGGGGCAAGACTAAATATGTGTAGAACACTATACTGAAATGCCCATCTTTTCAGATAATTGTACAGAAGTTAATCAACAATAATTGACAATTAATTAAATAAAAAAGTCTACGATAAACTCTGCAAAAGTGGAGGGAAGATTCCCAACCTTGGTGATATTTGCTCTGTTTTCTTACAAAAAAGTATACACAGCAAAAGATTAAGCAGTCCTTTTACACAGTTATGTCACAAAAACCAAGAGTTCCAATTATATCACAAAAAATTAAAATTGTTTCATAATTAAATTGACCCTAAACCATGTTCTCCCTCTACATGCTTTCATTTTGTCTTCTTTCTCTTACAGTATAAACGTAAAAGATTTATAAATAATAATAAATAAATAAAATAAAAAGGGAACCTATTTCTTATATAGAAGAACAGAAAATTCCATCCCCTTCTACTGTACTTGTAAAACCCAAGTTCCAAATGAGCCAGCATTTGCAGCAGCCATCAACCCTTTTGCCAACACAATGAAAGCGGTTTCACAGAAATCATTGAACTAAGGAAAGCAAGCAACGCATAAACTGCTACATGCAATCAGCCTATTGACAGATAAACAGTGACGACCCACATAAGTTCCAGATTCAGAATGTTGTCTAATTCAAAAGATTTGTACCATGGAACACAGTTTTGGTTTGGAAGCTTACCTCTGAGCTTACCTCGGGAGAGAAGGATCCCGTGTTTGGTTATGGTTTCTATGTAAAATGGAACAAAAACAAGAAACCTCTGCTGTTTCTGGTTTCAGTCACAATGTCGGGAAAAAAAAAGGTTGGTAAAAGACAACTGCACCAGCCGGGAATCGAACCCGGGTCTGTACCGTGGCAGGGTACTATTCTACCACTAGACCACTGGTGCTTGTTGTTCAATGACTCTTTGAAACCATATTAGAAGAAATGCGCGTCGAGTTGGCATTTTTATTTGTTTGGCCAAGGCAATGTTGAGACTCAGGTTTCCATCAATGGTGATTGTTACTTGAGGATTTATTTGTGTAAGGATATGCAATGAGTGGCACCTAAGAAAAGCTAACTAGTGTCTAGTACCCTTGCTAGGGGTTTTCAACCATAATTGTTCGTAAACTTATTCCCGAGTTTCATTTTGATTATGCAACTAATTTTTCTATCATTTTGGTCTTCTAAGTCTCTCATTCATGCTATCAATGGGGTGTTAGTTAGATTGGTCCAGACTTTTGGTTTGCTCTCAAGTGATCATGGGTTCAAACCCACATGGTACATGTGAGTGAGTTTCCCCCCTCCCCTTCCTAATTGTGGGAAAAAGAAAAAGGAAAGTATCTCATTCATGAATTCAGCTCTTCGGTCACATTTTGTCAATTTAAGTGGTAAAAGCATCAATTTGAGTACAAGTATCTTCTAAAACAACCCCATATAAAAAAGTAAAAAAAAATTAAAACATCTTCTAGAGCATTTTCAATTGCATTTTTTTATTTTTTGAGTTTCTCTATGATGTAATTGTCTTTGGCTTTCTATTAATGAAACTTGATTTCGACCCCAAAATAACAACCAATCCAGCTTTCTTTCCCCCAAATTGGAACCATAATTTACCTATCTATCCCATTTCACTGAAATTGAAACCCTAATTAAAAAAAATTCCCTAAGTTGAACCTTAACCCATCAACAGAACCTCAATTTAATTTTACCCCAATGCTTGCTGTTTTTTTTTTTCTTCTTTTAACTGAATGCTTACTGTGGAAGCAAAATATCTCAGATCCAAGGTCAAATAATTAAGCCAATCAATTTGGGAATTATTTGACCTAATTGGGAGTTACTCAATTTAATTGGGAGTTACCTGATTTAATTGGGATTTATTTGATTCTTGCCTTAATTAGAGATTTGATAATCAAATCCCTAATTACACCAATCTCGCCAAATTAGGGAAGAATAATTCATTTCCAGCTGTGGAATTATTCTTCTGAAACCCTAGCCTTCGAGGCCCCTATAAATAGGTGAGAAGGTCCGAAGCTAGGAATGTTCGATAGAAGGCCACGAGATACTACATGCAAGGCAACAGGCTCATTCGCAGATCATACTCCGGCCCTCATCTCACCTGCATAAAATACCCTCAAACACTTGAGCTTCTCTGCAAAATTCATGATGGCAACTGTGGCAACCACTCTAGGGGTATGTCACTCTCCTAGAATGCTCTAAACATAGGCTATTTCTGGCATACCATGAGCAACGACTTCACCGAATATGTCAAGAAATGTGATCAGTGCCAGCGGTACAAACCGGTTTCTAACCTGCCTACCGAAGTTAACCATCCGCAGAACAGTTCATGGCCATTCATGTAACGGGCCATTAACATAGTAGGTCCCTTGCCACCAGCGCCCGCCAAGAAAGACATGATGATCGTCGCCACTGACTACTTTACTAAATGGATCGAGGCCGAAGCTCTAGCATCTACCAAAGAAGCTGACGTGGAACGATTTATCTAAAGAAATATCATCTGTTGGTTTGGCTGCCCGCAATCGCTGGTTACCGACAATGACTCACAATTCATCGGCAAGCAGATCATCGCCTTCTTTGCAAAATACAAGATCAAGCAACACCTGTCCACCCCGAGGCATCCAACAAAATCATATTGGATTGCCTAAAGAATAGGTTAGAAGGCGCCAAGGGGAAATGGGTAGATGAGCTCCCTTGAGTACTATGGGCTTATCGCACCACCAAACGAAAACCGACTAGCGAAACTCCATTCTCCCTCGCCTATGGGGCATAAGCAATTATCCCTCCTCACATCACTGTCCCCTCCATAAGCTTTGAGGTGGTCAGTGTTGATCATAACTCCGAGCAAATAAGGCTCAACCTTGACTTACTTGAGGGCGAGTGCGAGAATACCATTATCCGAGTCGCCTCCTATCAGCAGCAGTTGAAATCCTACTACAACAAAAGAGCTAAGATAAGATAATTTCAACCAAGCGATCTTGTGCTAAGAAAGGCTTTCATCACTGCACCAAGACAAAGGTCAAAAAAGATGAACCATAACT